GGTGAGGGCGTGGAATCGAGTGCGTGATGGCTGGCTCTGTCAACAGCTCACTGCACCGTGGCTGGGCTGGGATGGCAGCGATTGCAAGTTTACGCGTACGAGACGGAGCACCAGCTGCGCAGCGATGAGACTGTGGCCCACAACCTCTTGCAGCGTTTTGAGCGCGCCGTCGAGGTTGGGTTGTACATCCTCACTGCCACTAGCCATCCTTTGCATTGTCCCCCGAACGCCATCATGAGCATCATCATCTTGAGTTTCTGACCTCAGCGTGCCTCATGGCTTTCGACCTCTGCGTGCCGCATGGCTCGTAGACTCGCAGCACGGCCGAGGATGACGATGAACTACAGCGCTACACCCAGGCAGACGTAAACAGGTGTGCCACTTTCTCTCACCTTGCTTCTCACTCCTCCGGCTTTCTCATTTGTCAAGTCACATTTGGCATTGGGCCCGTCTTGATGACGATCACCGGATGGTAGTGTGCGTCAGCGGCTCGAAGAAGCCCTCCGCGACGCCTTACGCGCCCTGGCTCGTCGACAACGCCAACGCGCTCGCGAACGACTTTTGGCCCCGACCGGCTCCGCAGCAGCCGCAACAGCCACACCAGAGTATGCATTCGGTCTCGCCTGTCAACCACACGAGCCCCTCCAATCTAGGCGGGTCCTTCTGCCTCCGCCTTCTCGCAACCTGTTGATCCATCATCATGGCCTGCGCGTTCATCCGCCACGCAGGGACGGGGAGGCCATGCTGCGCTCCAAGTTAGCAAGGGCTCAGGCCATGATGGGCGCACACCTGGAAGCCGACCAGGCAACTCACGAACATGTGGCCGTCGCCAACGAAGCCCTCGCAAGCATCAACGCCACCCTTGGCATCGTCGTCGGCAGCACCAAAAGCAGTGCCAAACTATCGCATCAGTTGCAGGTGAGAGACTCTGTGGTCGCCATGGCGTGTGCCTATACAATAGCTCACTAACATGTCTTGTCTCGTTCTCATCAGCACGAACACCGCAAGAACCAGCTCTACATCTTTGCCGGCTTTTCCATCTTCCTCCTCACCATCATGTACATTCTCTTCAAACGCCTTTCCTTTGTCGCTCTGCTCGGAGCCCTCGCCATTGCTCTATTACTCCTCGTTTATGTTTACATCTATCTGCTCTGCTTTCGCGCACGGCGCTGAAGGGCACCCGCTCGACGCGTTGCTTTCTCCCATCGTTCTTTCTTTCCAGAGTATTTTTCGATTGTTCCAAGCATTGTTCTTTTTCGACGTGTTGTGCTCTTGCTCCCTGAGGGAGGTCGTTTTGGCCTGCGCGAAATGGATAGCCTGATCAAGCCATGGAACAAGCAGGCGTGGTGATCAAAAAAAAAAAAAAAATCACAAAGGTTTGGCCACCCAGCACATTCCCTTCTCTTACAATGGCCACATGCGCCGCTTCACCTCGATGTACCCAACATGCATGCCACTGAGATGGCAACGAGACAGATGGCAAGTCAAAACTACAGATTCGATTAGTCATGTTCATAACAGCACTACCACAACACAAGAACACCAGGCACCAATAAAATTGAGAAAATGTGCGCAATGCGCAACAGAAGAGGTCAAAGGGGCATAAAAATAATTTCTCCGCGGCCACGTAACTGGCCACCGTATCGCGCACGGGGTTCGAGAAGAGGTAACCGAATGAAGGCCAAGGGCCAAAAGCAAATGCAGATAAGAAAATCTGTACGTGAGTGCATGTGTGTGTGTGTGTGCGCGCGTGACGGGAGGAAAAGGGCAAAAAAATACGCAAGAGCCAAAAACTAAAAGTGAGCAGCACGCATAAAAATAACGAGAAAGGGACAGGATCGCCTTGGCATCAAGGCATGCATGGCACTCAAGCTCACATCAGCAACATGACCCCGTTGCTGGCCCTTTGCATTCAAGGCATATTTCAACCACGCTCAAGATAAAGAATAAAGGCACCACCCTCGGGGTGTGATCAAGTCGCCAGGACCGGCAAACTTGAAAAGAACAAGAAAAACGAAGGTAAACAATCAGTACTGTCTCGATGCCCTGGCAGCCTGGCTGCTGACAGAGAGCAACGATGAACAGACATGGCGGCCAGGCTTTGTGGTGGCTGCCAAGTCAAACCCCATGTAGGTCTCATGAAAAGTGTGATGAGCTCGGGGGGTGGGAGATGCTGCTTGCCTGCGTCGTGGTCGGATGATGAGCAAGCATGGTCTGTGGGTTCATGCCAGACAGCATGGCCGCTAATTGGGCGAGACCTGCCGCTTGACCAGCAGCGGCAGGCGCGGGTTGCTGTGCTGGCTGCTGGGCCATAGCAGCCATATTGAGCATCATGGCCATGCTGGGCATCATGCCGGGCAGAGCTCCCATGGCCTGAACGTCTGGCATCCCATGAAAGCCAGCCATTCCAGCCATACCAGCCATGTGACCCAAGCTTGCCGACGCCATGCTGTTCAACATCAGGGCAGCCATGGGCCCCATGTTTGACAATGAACTCATAGCTGCACCTGGCAGGGCTTGGCCCATGTTGGCCTGGAGCATTTGCATCATAAATGGAGAGATTGCAGACGGGAAATTTTCGCCCCGAGCGGTCGCTGCAGCCGCCATGGCGGCCGTAGGGTGTTGCCAGGCCGAGTTCAAGGCCGCCGGAAAAAAATTGGTCATGGCCGGGGTCAATGGGCCGGTGGGATTCATCACCAATGGCTCTGAGAGGTGAGGCTTTGTGCCGAGTCGCTGACTGGCAGCCAATATAGCAGATGGACCGGATGCTTGGAGGGGTGTTGGCGGCACACCGGAATCCTCGTCCTGATCCAGGCGCGAGGCTTCGCGAGAACGAAATCTTCGGCTTGCCAAGAGTTCCTGCACACGCAAAAGGACAAGGTGAACAAACTTCAAGACTCAAGACTATCCAAAACAGCTGACTTTGTAATGAATATCGGCAGAGCATGTGGCAGGCCAGCAAACGAAAATAGTTGAGCCGGACGTACCTGGTTCAGCTTGAGTTGGGACCGTTCCCACTCGATACGGCGGAACAACTCGGCCTCTTCCATCTGAAGCCGCTGGATGTATTCGGCTGCATATGAAAGGATGATGGCATTGGACGCTTTGCTCTTGGAAATGTCCGGAATCATGGATTGCAAAAGCTGAAACTGCGAATTGAGGTGAGCGCGGCGGCGCTGTTCTGCATGGCGGTGCTCCTCTCGCCGTCCCGCTGGACGAGGAGAGCGTCCATGAGGAGAGTAGCACGCCTCACTCTTGCTCTGCTTGCAAGGCGGCTCGGAGGTCGCATCGTTTGGCTCGAAATCGCTCATCCCATCGGAGCTCTCGCGGCCGTGGCAGTCATCTTCGTTAATGCCAGTGTCATCAGAATGGACATCATCGCCGTGATCGTCGCCACAATCGTCGTCGTCAACCGTCTCGCCTTTAACAACCTCAATCCCACTTGCCTGTTCGCCAGCTGGGACCATGTCGCCGTCGCTGTCCTCATCACTGATTGCGTTTTGCTTGTCGTCACTCGAATGCTTGTTGTCCTCCATACCGGCATCTTTCGCGTCAGAGCCATGCCGACGCAAGTGGTGGTCATTGTCTTGGCTATTGCCGGTGTCTGGACTGCCATGGTCTCGGGATGAATCACGAAGAGGGTGGTTATCGCTGTCGGCACTTGTTTTGCTAGACTTGGCAGAGTTGCCGTGTCCGGGCACTGGTGGACGTACACTCTTGTGTTTGCGTTTGGCACGCTGAAGGGCTTCAGGTTGAGTATCTTTTTGCTTGTCCTGATGCTCGGCAGGTACCTCGTCTTCCACAAGGCGTTCATCTTGCTTCTCAGTCGCTCCGTCGTCATTGGTGTCGACGTCACTGTCCTGAGGCGGCTCGCTATGTTTGCTCACATGGCGGCCCGCACGTGATGGCGTCTCCCCATCCCGAGTCACGTTGTTCGCCCGAGAAGAATGTTGTTCGTCTCGAGCTGTCGACGAGTCTTTGGTGGAGGGACCTGTCGGGGCAAGCGGCAATGCAGGGCTTCGAGTCCTCCGATTAACTGAGGCTCTGGCGCGGCTTTTCGCGGACCGGCGCCGATCGGCCATCCCAGTGGACAAATGGCGCCGGATGCCCAGAGAGGGAATCAAGAGCCCAATTGTCACGAAAATTCGAGTCCGATAGGCTAGATTGTGGGTCTCAAAGTTCCAAGCCGCAATGGCCGTGAACGGGTCCAATTTGCCAATGGCAGAGGCGGCAGGGTGCAGATCAGATCTTGCTGGGCGTGTAACTGGGCCGACGTGAATCCAGCGAACCGGGATGTTGTTCAGAATGAGAAACGGAGGATGTAGACGGGAAGCGACACAAAGGTGATGCAATCGGCAATGAATCGTTCAATCGCTTGCTTCGGCTCGAGCATCGGCCGCAACACTGATGAATCTACCAACATGGCGCGAGACGAAAGCAAGGGACAGGCGGCATTGGCGGAAGGGCGAACGGGGATGAGCGGCCAGTTGCCAAAGCCAAACACACATGGGTACACAAACAAAAAGGTATGGACGAAGGTGTGACAAGAAGCGAGTCAAGCAAGGCAGTACGACGCAGACCACAAGAACAAGCAAAGGCATCCACGCGACGAGGGATCTCAAGGCTCTGTTGTATGTGCATGGAGTCAAGAACGTGTGTGCGGGTGTCTGCGCATGCTTGCTCACAAGATCGTCAAGCAAGGTTTTTGGGGAAAAGAGGGTGGAGTGGATAGAGGCGAAGGGTCAAGCTGACTCAACTTACAAGAGATGTGAGAGGCAGCTTTTGTTGCATAAGGAAATGGAAACTGTAGTTGCGGATGCGAGTGCGGGTGCGGATGTCGGCGGTGTTGTGGGAGCACGAGGACGAAGAGGATCACGGGATCAATGGTGTTGGAACAAGAGTACCGGCTGCAGTACACCAACGACGCAAATGACGAAGATCAGGTGCAAGAGGGTGTTGCATCAAAACAAGGAAACAGAAGAAGGCGGAAGGAGAAGCCGTTGGAGGTGTGTGTCGGAGTGCGCAATGTGTATGAGAGAGCGAGCAGGGGCGGGAAGTGTGTAAAGCGTGATGCTGTGCGATGGCGGTGGCTGTGGCGGTGGTGGTAAGAGGGAACGCAGCAGGCATCAAACACAACCATGTCCCTTGGCACCCAAGTCAGACTGGTGTGTGGGTTGAAAGTCAAACGTCAAAAAGAAAGCTCAGACGCGCCGAGAATGGCAGCCAGTGACCACGCAGTCGTGCAAGTACACGGTCATGCGATCGGGTCTGGCTCGCTGCCAAAACGCGCTGTGATTGTGATGGTGTTTTGTTTGGAATCCCACAAGAGGCGTCATCCGTCCACAAGTTGACAGCTTTGTATCAATGGTTTCAACGCAACATCACAACGGCAGCAAAGGATAAACTACAACGCGAGATGAATCAAAGCCCAGCCAGCAAGCCTGACCGCAAGCGGGTTGTGGCATGTAGGGAGCACGGGGCGAGATGTATTCGGTTGGGGATGTTGGGGCACAGGGCACTTGAAGGCACCCGGTACACGAATGAAAAAGGCAGGTTGACGAGCAAAAGGAAATGAAATGAGAGAGGAAAGAGAGAGAAAG